CGGCACTATATGGAAATGAGGACACCTTCGTGCCCCAGCCAATTCACCCCCGAGGAAAGAGCTCGAAGTAAATATTGTATAGGAGGTAGGGTCGGCTCCAGAGCCGGTCTGGACGAAGTGTAGTGGGGAAAAGTCCCTTTGCCTTTATCGGGAAGTTACCTACTGTCGCCCGACCTGTAGCTCGTTGCTATACCGTCTGAAGGGATAACGAAATTTTGCTGATGTAATTAAAATATTGGGAATGAGTATTCGAATCGTGCTGAGAAACCTACTTACATAGAAACTCTACAGTAATAGGACCTATTTACATAAAAACTTTATAGCAATGGGACCTACTTACATAGAAACTCTACAGCAATGGGGCCTACTTACATAGAAACTCTACAGCAGTAGAACCTACTTACATAGAAACTCTACAGCAATAGGACCTACTTACATAGAAAATCTACAGCAATAGGGCCTACTTATATAGAAAATCTACAGCAATAGGACCTACTTACATAGAAACCCCACAGCAAGAGGACCTACTTACATAGAAACTCTACAGCAATAGGACCTATTTACATAAAAACTCTACAGCAATCGGACCTACTTACATAGAAACTCTACAGCAATGGGACCTACTTACATAGAAACTCTACAGCAATGGGACCTACTTACATAGAAACTCTACAGCAATGGGACCTACTTACATAGAAACTCTACAGCAATGGGACCTACTTACATAGAAACTCTACAGCAATGGGACCTACTTACATAGAAACTCTACAGCAATGGGACCTACTTACATAGAAACTCTACAGCAATGGGACCTACTTACATAGAAACTCTACAGCAATGGGACCTACTTACATAGAAACTCTACAGCAATGGGACCTACTTACATAGAAACTCTACAGCAATGGGACCTACTTACATAGAAACTCTACAGCAATGGGACCTACTTACATAGAAACTCTACAGCAATGGGACCTACTTACATAGAAACTCTACAGCAATGGGACCTACTTACATAGAAACTCTACAGCAATGGGACCTACTTACATAGAAACTCTACAGCAATGGGACCTACTTACATAGAAACTCTACAGCAATAGGGCCTACTTACATAGAAATTCTACAGCAGTAGGGTCTACTTACATAGAAACTCTACAGCAAGAGGACCTACTTACATAGAAACTCTACGGCAATAGGACTATCTACATAGAAACTCTACAGCAGTAGGACCTACTTACATAGAAACTCTACAGCAATAGGGCCTACTTACATAGAAATTCTACAGCAGTAGGGTCTACTTACATAGAAACTATACAGCAAGAGGACCTACTTACATAGAAACTCTACGGCAATAGGACTATCTACATAGAAACTCTACAGCAGTAGGACCTACTTACATAGAAACTCTACAGTAATAGGACCTACTTACATAGAAACTCTACAGCAATAGGACCTACTTACATAGAAAATCTACAGCAATAGGGCATACTTACACAGAAAATATACAGCAATAGAGCCTACTGTATAACACCTTAACAGCAGTGGTTACAGTCAAGAGCATAAGTTGAGAGTGGAATGGACGAAATCCGAAAATTCCGCCGCTCTGACCTACGTTGGTTAACAAAATTTCCTGCCTCATATGAATAAAAAAAATTCTTCCCTTGGGAATGCTCAGGCCGTGGGTGACTTCCATGCACGACTGTACCTAAAATGGCTTTGTGAGTGTGCTGTTATCAGGTGGTGACGTATATCGTTACGTCATCATTAGAACGTTACTAAATTCTGTTTTCAACGTCAGATAGGAACCAAAATTGCCATACCAGAGATCTCGTTGAGCATCTAGGGACTTTTCTTCCGAAAGGTTGGCTATTCAATGTATAAAATATTGTGACGTGACACCTGAGAGTAGGAATAGTGCAGCGAGAAGACACGACTGTTGCTACGCAACGGCCAGGTAAATATGCGCAACAGATACGCTCGCAACAATACAAGAAAGAGGCACTTTCTGTGCGGTCCGTGCCGAGGCTATATACCGAGGACCAATGGGGCAAGTAGTTCAGATGAAAATTAACATGTTCGCGGTATAGGACAAGGTGAAGCCAGACACAGAAAATATAAGAGGCTTAAACTTGGCGGTGGTCAAGCTTACGGCCGTTCAAATGACTAAGATGCCGTTGTAGCATAAGATATGTAAGTCAGGCATGATCTGCTTTGTAAAGTCTGTATTGACAGAGGACTTGTGTGTAGTGCAAAAGGAAGAGTTTTCAATAATATGTTATATGTGCGAAATATACACTTGCCGAAAGGCGAAGCGTATTCATAAGAGACAAACCCATCTTCTCTTCAGAGGGGATGTTACATAAGGACTATTACCGTAAAGTTCGGTTGGGAAAAAGAATCTCTGGTCGTGGGCCTCAAGGGGTCTGAAGCCGAGACGAACTGATAGGCGTTAAACCGCCAGTAGATAAGTAACTATGAGTCTGACTCTGACTCTGAAGTCGTTCGGTTGAGAGTTGAAGGACTGAAGAGTACAGAAGCGCACAAGGACGAGATTGGAGCATGTCATAGTGATTTGTGAAGTGGGTTGAGAGTGACAGCGTTATTATTAGTCACGTCAACCCCTTACACGTGACAATATGCTCAAATATATTTAGACAAAACATACCACGCCGTCTGCTTGGTCCGCCTTCTCAAGTCTTCCTCTCCTTCACATATAAGTTACTGTTTTATATTTATCAGATGAGGTCAGGTCGTCATTACAGTCCAACTGCTTCGTTATGGAAACCTCTGTACTGAAACAATCTCACGCGCCGACTAGTATGCCTTTAAGATTTCCTATCCCCCAAACCATAACTCTTTCCACAGAACATTTCGAGAGGATTCTTTTGTGTCCGTATTCTCGTTCTCTTACCTGTGAAACTGGTTCACACAGGAGTCGCCTCCAGTGTGTCTGATGTTGTGATACTTACACTGAGTCTCGGTTTCACCGCTTGAAGGCGCTGACTTACCTCTCATCACAGGTACAGTGCATGATAGTGTTGATACGCCAGTTAAAGAGTCCATATTTTTCCTCGAAAGCTGAGATGAAAACTGGACAGGAGGTATCATGGACTCTGCAACACTTGTCTGCTTTCCCGAAGCCACCAAGATGTGTATACTTGTGGGCAGTTCTCCCCTTCCCGCACCATTTTGTGCCCGGCACTCGGAGTAAATCCATCAGCTCTCGTTTTCTCCTGTAAGGTTATGACCATCTCGCTTACCTTGTCCGGCACTGATAGCTTCTTACTGGACGGCCAACTCTCTGTGATAACATGGACAACAAATGTCTCACAAACATCTTTCGGCGACATTGTCACACGTTTACTATGTATCATTACGCCGTAATTCAATCTGAAAGAGTTTCAAGTATCTCGTTTCATTATCTGTATCATTTAGCCGCCAGAGCAGAACATAAGAGCAACTAATGTGTTTTCTGGCAGACATGAGAGAATTGCTTCTGGAAAGATTCGATTCTTGAAATATCGAATCATTTGATCAGATTTTCGAGATGTCGAATCGTTTGATCCAATTCTCGAGATATCTTATCACTTCAAGGTACCAAAAAAAACGTAAAAGGTAAAGTTCTGCTGTGCTTGATTGAACTGCACGCTATGAAGACGTATATGGAAGAGGAGATAAAGTTCCACGTTTTCTTAACCTAGGCATTAGACAGAGGTGAATGGTCAGCTTCATGCAGACGCCAGCATACGCTTGAGTTAACTTTTGGTCGGCTACAGAGTCAGTCTGGAAACTGCTGAGAATCGTATATCGATGTATCGGTTCTGGAACCGTAGTCCAATTGCTCTGCAGAGAGAACTAACTCTTAAAGCCATCGATTGATTCTTTAAACAAAGAATTTAAGTACTCGGGAAAAAAAGTAAATTTGTCCCTGTGCTTAAGTAAGCTGTATGCCATGAAAACATATGGGGAAGTGGATGTGTAGATTCACGTTTTCTTTTTTACCTTGGAAACAGGTGGAGGTAAGTGGTCAGCTTCATGTTCCGGCCGCTTTACTCCTGGGGAAAAATCCCTCAGTACGAGTTAAATCTGGGATGTTTTCTTGCAGGAGTAGAACCAACGACGATGAGTAACCGTGACTGTATGTATGAGAAATAGCCCGTGAAATATTTGCATGTTTCTGTAATTTTTAAACGTAAAATGGGAAGAGGGACCTCATGGGTTAACCCTACTCCGTAGGGCAAATATTCATTTAAATTTAGATCTGTATAAAGAAGCAGATATGGGAAGGCATACACGCTAAAGTGCATCCAGAATAAATATAAAAATGCTGGCAATGGAATTTGCAGTAAATCATACATTTTTACAAGAATGAAGAAGTGAATGATTTCTATGAGAAACTGAGCCGGTTTGCATAGCGGTACCGATTTCAATTTTTATTCGGGAGATTCTAGATTCAAATCCCAACCGTGACGCGGACTATCTCAAGTTTCCTTTTTGTGGTTTTTATACAATCCTTTCAGACCAATAGCCGGAATAGTACGTCTGTTAAGGTTCGGCCACACAGAGCGCTACGCTATGTTCGCTACGTACGCTACATATGCTGTGTACACTCTGCGACGCAGCTAACATAGGGAACATAGCGTACGTAGCGTACGGAAGTCTGTGTGGCCAGTCACATTGGCAATAAAGGGAGATATTTTTCTGTTCGTATAGCGAACATAGCGTACGTAGCGCTCTGTGCGGCCGAACCTTCAGACCAAGATCGCCTCCTGCCAGAAGCATTCAAATTCCTCTGGTCATCCCACATTTTGATGCTACATATTCTAGCTACTGACAGCATCGTTAAATAACCAACTTGTACACAGAAGTTACACTGTGTACAATGAGTATCTGTACCTCTCATCCTAAATTCTTGTTTCAGATTTACTGACGTTTGTGAGAGATGCGTTGTCTCGGCTCTGCCGAAGCGGAAACTTAAGGATATGACCTCACTTCCTTCATACCTTCTGTCACAGTGACAGTGGCTGACTGAGAAAGGGCGGTAGTTGAAGAGATGGTACTTAGTGGAGAACCCGGAAATTGAATGTGGACACATGTCGTGACGTCGGCAGCAACGGTCCAAGTTGGACAATCCTCCGAGATCCACGTAGTCATTTGCTAGACGTTTGTGACCACACCACTTGGTGCCCGGTGCTATAAACATATCCCCTATACCGCGCTTTTTCCTGTAATGCCATAAAGGGTAAGGGTACTTAGAGTGGATCATTAGGAAATGTTACCAAAATATACGGTAACAGCGCCACAGCATGAGCGGTTTGGTTCCGGCTTCGGTCTGCGGAGCATCCCGTGACTTCATATGGGATTTTTGGTGGACGAAATGGCACTGGAGCAGGGTACTGTCTAATTTCTCTGGTTTCACACTGCTAATCATTATTACAACACGTAAGAACTGAAGCCTTCACGGCACCCAAACTTTATAACATTTTCTCGGTCAATCAGCCGTTTCAACTGGTTAAAAATTACTGATGTTCCAGGAATCATCTCTGTCCCTGTCATCAGTGTCTGATGTCATCGTGAAGACAAGAATCCTGGCGCAGCCTTGCTGCGTCCCATAGAAGGATCTAAATTAACAATATCCCCCTCCCAGACAAGAATTTGGCTTCAATTTGCGGCTGATGGTCAGACTCGTTACGTGACTGGCTTATGCTGATTGCACGATGATTTCAGTTAGTTAAAATTAGTCAATTGGTGACGAATTCTTGTCGGAAGGGGGGGGGGGTTCGTTAACTCGGATCCTTTTGAGATATGAAGCGACGCTCCCGCAAGATACTTGTCTTCGTGACAACATCGGGCACTGATATACAGTACTGACAAGGCCGATAGCCCGAGATTTATCATCTCACCGTTACTCAGTTTTCACGTTCCCTAAGATGTGCGATAGATTTGATAAGGCAGCCCATAATCACATCCTCCATTGCTAACTTCAAGGTTTCAACTATGACCCTGCACTTGGCTAGGCAAAAACTAACGAAGCTACTTATGTACTATTAGTTCTCATTCATTCATTGTCCAATAGAAAGTGCAGTGTTGACAGTTTCGTCTCATGAAGGATCACTGTTTCATTCTAGTTTTGTATGGAATTTGGTTACGAAATATGCTGTACAGTCCTGTAATCGAAGAACGAAAGAGGGGTGGAACAGAACACGATAAATGACATATACCTATAATCTACGATATTAGAAAATTTATATTATCACCGTTAACATTTTTCTTTCATTTTGAAATAATTTTACAATCTACTCAATATACATAAATAGAGTAATTAGTAAAAGGGATGGGTGTGTGTAATATTGAAGCAGATATCATCCTTCGATGACTCTCTGGTGCTTATCTAATGAGATCCTCTGGCCACATTCTATTTAGTCTTCTTTCTATTGCTGGTTGGTTGAAGAGGTTTCTTATTAGTTGGTTGTTGTTTTGAGTGGTCCGGTTTTTGTGTTTCTCCGCGTATGCTCTGATGACTTCTGTTACATGTGGTATGCTTAGATCATTGTGTAAGGTAGCGTTTGGTACGTACCAGGGAGCACTAACTACTCGTAGTTTTCTTAGCGTTTTGGAATGGAACGTTTGCAGAATTTCTGTGTTGGCAGGTTCGCTGCATCCTCATAACTCTATCCCGTACGTCCAGACTGGTTTTATTATCGTTTTGTATAGGATTATTTTGTTTTCAAGAGATAGCTGTGATTTTTTGTCGATCAGCCAATTCATATTTCTGGTTTTGAGCTCTAGTTGTCTTCTCTTAGCTTTTATATGCGTTCTCCACGTTAGTTTCTCGTCAAGGTAGAGTCCTAAATACTTAACTTCCTGTTTGATGGGTATGAGCGTGTTGATACTAACTTGTGGGCAGACAGCTCTTCTTGTTGTAAATGTTATTTTGGAGGATTTTGCAGGATTTACTTTGATTCTCCATTGTTCCATCCAGTTTTGGAGTGAGTTGAGGTGTTGCTGCAATTATAAGTTTTGAACGTTTCGTTTTTGGCTTGTTTTATGGCTGATCGTAGACAGTGAGTTAGCTTGTTGAGTTCTGTTTTGTCTAGTGGGTTTCTGCTATTTTGCCACCTGCGTCTTGCTTGGCGTTTTTTGTAGACTAATTCCCTGGTGTGTATTGGAACGTTAGGAGCTTCCCGAGTTGTCTTTTTCCTTTCTGCTGTGGATATCCATGCAGCTGTTTGTATTAGGTTGGTTATGTAGTCCACTGCGTCTTCAAGAGCTTGGTTTTCTTTTAGCCGGAGATTTAGGGCAGTGTTGTTGTTGATGTAATCTTGGAATCGCGTCCAATTGATGTTCCTATTACAAAGCTGTCGTGATGGTTTCTTCCAGATTACGTGATTATTTAGTGTTATTATGATCGGACTGTGGTCTGATGACATGTCTAGGTTAGTTTCTATAGAACTGTGAATGCCGGAGATGCCTTTTGTGATTGCAAAGTCTAGTAGGTCCGGTGTTTTATTTAAATCAGTAGGTCAATATGTTGGCTCTCCTGTTGATATGTAGTTCAGGTTGCTTTGTTGTATAACATTCAGCAGGTTTCTACCCTTAGGTGTGATCAGTCTGGAGCCCCATGCAATGTGCTTGGCGTTCCAGTCGCCGGCCACTAGGTAGTGAGAACCAAGCTGGAGCAGGAAGTCTTCGTATTCTTGATGGGAGATGGTATGTCTTGGGGGCCTGTATGTTGCAGCGATGACCATAGGTCGGGCCATGGATTCCAGCTTTATTATTGTGCTTTGTGTCTTGTTCGTGATATATGGTTCTATTGCGCAGTGTTTCAACTTTGTTTTGATAATTAGAGCTGAGCCTGCGTGGGCTGTCCNAAAGAGAGGCAACGGCTCTTTGCTGACTCTGTTTTGCATTTATCATGTTTCTTAGTTTACGCCCTTTCTTGTTTAATTCTTCTGTTATGTCGGGTATTGGTATAGANTAAGGTATTTTGATGACGCTTTGTTCAGTAATATGGCTTTATGATATGAGTAGGATGTCTATTTTATTTGTCATAGTGTTTTGGTTGAGAAGCTGGTTGAACATGTGTTTGAATTCGCTGAGAAACATTATAAGCTGGCTTTCGATATCTGCGGGACTGTTGTTGGTTTGGTGAGTCGCTGGTCTTTCNGCGTGTTGGATTAGTTTACTGTATGTTTCTGGCATATATGGCATGATTTTATTGTATTGTTGGGCAGCGCTTTTGCTGTATTAGTTTCATTTNCACTTGTAAATAACTTATATCCTGACATACGTAGTTTGTGGCTTGTTGTGGTGTATTATTGATTCTTTCGGGATTATCTTTGTTTTTGAGTTAATTAGATCACGGTATACAGTGCAGCCGGCCAGTCACGGTAGCCGAGCGGCNTAGATAGCTGGTGGTTTGGGTTCCCTTTTTGGATTAGCAGGATTCTTTCGAGGTTGGTGGTTGCCTATTTTGGCTGTTATCGTGGGGTAGTTCACTAAGAGAGTCAAATCTGTTAGTAGTGTTCGAGCGAGTGAAGACATTTCATACCTTAGACCGCCCGGCCACCGTGATCGGCCTTTACCCTTCGGTCTGNGTTTTTGCGTTTGGGCGGTTCAACACGAATTTTGCAGTTTAGCAAGAATTCTAAGTTGTAAATTTCTTTGTTGTTGCTTTGTGGTTCCAAGCCAACAAAGAAGAGAGGCACTGGTTCTTTGCTGACTATGTTTTATATTTATCATGTTTCTTACTTTATGCCTTTTCTTGTCTAATTCTTCTGTTATGTCGGGTATTGGTATAGGGTGATGCAGATCGCGAATTACTATTCTGTACGCTCTTTTCTGTTTCAGTTGGTACGTGTGATGTATGATTTTTTCCTCCCTAACGTGTTGGATTAGTTTTCTGTATGTTTCTGGCACATTTGGCATGATTTTTATTGTATTGTTGGGCAGCGCTTTTGCTGTATAGGTTTCATTTTCGGTGACCTTGGCAAGGTTATTTAGCATTGCTTTAAAGTCATTCACCCCGTAAATGTAGATAGGTGGTGGTTTGGGTTCTCTTTTGGGATTGGCAGGATTCTCTGAGATTGGTGGTTGCCTATTTTGGCTGTTATCGTGGGGTAGTTAACCAAGAAAGTCAAATCTGTTAGTAGTGTTCGAGCGAGTGAAGACATTTCATACCTTAGACCGCCAGGCCACCGTGATCGGCCTTTATCCTTCGGTCTGCACTAACAGAGTGGCTTTGGATTAGGCTCCAACATTGGAGATATATATTTTTAACGGTAATACGGTTGAATTTATCCATACCAGGTGTGTACATTTCTTAGAAACGTAAAGACATATAGTAGCATTAACCAAAAAGGGAAAAGGATGTTGATTTTCGTATGTGTAAAGTCATTGAGCGACAGTACAAACTACTTTGGATTTCATCATGACGAACACAAAAAGATGATTAGCATATACCCTCGATGGGAACGTTTTTATGTACCGTAAGATTATGATCCCCACAGGACAACAAAGCTCGAACTTAGCACATAATTACGTTTCACAATACTTAGCTTGACAGAATGAACATAAGCGAAAAAAAAAAGGCAGTGAACTTGGAAGCTGCGAGCTACAGATCTTCAGAAGATATCAAAATTACTTTCTGACAGAAGGAAAACAGTGAAAGAAGAATCTAAAATGAGAACTGAAGCAAGGATACGTGTTCAGTAGACTTCTGAAATTGAGCTCCAAATAGTACAGCGAAGGAGATTAGCCCTGAGTTATTTTAGAATATATTTACCTTTCTGTACACTTACAACAGTACCAACAGTAAGACAGTGTATAGTATGAACTACTGCCAGGTTTGGACGCATACAGTACACCCTCATCATAACGGACCAAGATATAACGTATAGAATCCGGCTGTGTACAATTGTGAATTTGTAGAGATGTTGGGATCCTAAGAAAGTTTTGTACTCAGAGAAATATTTAAAATAAAAAGAACCCCATTATATGAAAGAGATAAAAGTAAAGCTAGTCCTGTAAAAGGCCGTGGAAACCAATAGGATTGTGAGGCGTCGAGGCTCCCAAATTTTTTAGAAAACTGGTTCACGGATGGTGATGTGGCTGCCAGCCTTACGCACCGGCCCCCTTTTTACCACAGGAAGATTCCTGATCCTCATTTCTGTTAGAGGCTGAGTCGACCCCAGGGCCATAGTGCCGCTGGAAGGATTAAGTAAAT